GGGGGGGGGCCAAGCCCCGACACCAGGCAGTGCGCACCTGTCATTGGTGTTGTGGAAGGTGTAGCAGCAGATGGACGGCATCAGCGGCTTGCCGGTGGACTCAAGCGTCGCGCCGAGACGCGCCCGGAGCATGGTCTCGCGGATGGACGTCTCGAAGGCCAGCTCATCGGATTCGCGCCTGATCCCAGGGCGGGGGGGGGGGGGGGAGGAGATCGGAAGCGAAGGGGCAAGACACGCCCGACAGCGGGTCAGTTGCGAAGTGTCCCACCCAGCGACAAAGGAACTGGCCGCGAGGGGGAGTGCGAGGTCCAGGACGCACCGGGGGGGTTTCGGGATGCCGGCCTGGGCCTCGTTCGGCCGCACCGAGCCCAACAGCGATGCCGCTGTCTGCGGCGGCCCGCGGCGTCTGGCGTGTGATTCGCGGTTGTTCTTTCGCACCGGAATGGCGGGAGCAAAGAGGGAGCACGGGAAGAATGGACACAGTCAGTCAGCCGGTCAGCCAGCCGGTCAGCCAGCCGGTCAGCCAGCCGGTCAGCCAGCCGGTCAGCCAGCCGGTCAGCCAGCCGGCCAGTCAGCCAACCGGCTATGGTGGGGGAGAGGGAGGGAGGGGAAAAACGGCTGTTCCATTGCTCGGCCTTCTTGCTTGGCTCCACTTGCGACGCACCGCCTCCTGAACCACGGACACGAAGCCATCCAAGTGCACGAAGGTTTGAGTGGAGGGCTGATGCGACTCGGCCAGCTGCTTGTGCTGTGCCTCGGTCATGCTGGACCCGAGCCACGCCTCCAGCAGGGCCAGCTCATCCAAAGGCGAGGAAGGCAGCGGCCGCCCCGGGTAAGCTGTGACACATGTCAGCGGTGCGATTCGCAGGACGTGCAGGAAGAGAGGAGGCCGAAAGCCCCAGCACGCACCCTTCAGATCCAGATAGTTGTTCACCATCCGGATCAGCAATGTCAGACGGTTGTCCTCCATGAAGGAGAGAATCAGATTCTGCGTCAGGGAACTGAGCTGCACGGTAAAACGCCGGGGCTTGAAGGCGGCCAGGTCCGGCACGCTGGTGCCTGGCTTGGTCCGCGCCGCCAGAACAGCCACCGAGTGTGCCCGCAGGTGATCCACCACGTCGGCCATCCGGTGGCGCAGCTTCAGATACGCCTCCGAGCCATGATACTTGCCGCCCGCGGTCTCCTTGCCGGCTGGCCCGGAGGCGGCTGCATCGGGCCCGCTGGCGCCGGTTTCGCCAGTCGCCGGGTTGGCCTCGCCCCCGGTGGCCGGGCTCGGCGGCCGGGCAAAGTCCACCGAGAAGTTCTGCAAGAATTGCTGGCACAAGTGATAGCGCTGCCGATCGCTCAGGTCGATGTACAGGTAGACGAAGAGCGGAAAGAGGAACTTCTTAAGCTCGGACTGTGTAGGGAGCGGGGGGGGGGGGGGGGGGGGGGGGAGGGGTCAGGGACGCAAGTACCACAAGAGAAAGACATTGGCCGAGACATGAGGCTGGCGACGTACCCGGTAGGCATCCAACGACACGCCGATCCACTGGCGCAGGTGGTTGTATGCATCGAGGTGCAAGCGGTCATTCATGGCCTCCTGTGGATCATAATGCAGAGAGTAGTGCGACATCGACACGCGCTCACTCATGGCGTTCTATCGGGTCCCGAGGGGGGGAGGGGGGGCGACAACGGCGTCAGCGATACAGACACACAGGTGCGCAGACACACACGTGCGCAGACACACACGTGCATATATATATACACCATGCACAGACGAACGGACAAACGAACAGACAGACACCCAGACACATACACACGCACATACATATACATGTACACACACACACACAAACACACACACACACAAACACACACACACACACAAACACACACACACAAACACAAACACACACACACACACAAACACACACACACACACAAACACACACACAAACACACACACAAACACACACAAACACACACACATACACAAGCACACACACAAGCACAAACACAAGCACAAACACAAACATGCTCGCACCTCAGCGATCAGCTGGTCCAACGAGATGAGCCCCGGTGACTGGGGCTGTGAGGGGGCGGCCGAGGAGGGATCAGCGTCTGAACTCCCGCTGCCACCGCTGCCGGCCTGTGACCCAGCGAAGGAGGAGTTCGACGGCGATACCCCCGATCGCGCGGGCAGAACTACACCCTCGGACGGCGACATGACCAGGTGCGGCGAGGAGGCCGTCGGCGAGGCGGCTCCAGAGGAGGCAGCCGCCACGGTTGCCGAAGATGATGAGGAGGGAGGCGCCGAGGGAGGCGCCGAGGGAGGCGCCGAGGGAGGCTGCGAGGAACTCATCTCGCGCGGCAGTGCTCAAAAAAGGGGGAGGGCCGGGGGGGG